TGTAAGAAGGGACCATATTCCCTGGAGAAGGATGTCATGCTTGGTAGGGTGGAGGGTCGACGAAAGAGGGGGAGGCCTTCAACAAGATGGATTGACACGGTGGCTGCAATGATGGGCTCAAGTATAGCAGGGATTGTGGGGCTGGCGCGGGATCGGGCAGTGTTTCGTTCTACTGTGCATGGGGTCGGAAACGACTCGACGGCACTTAACAACAACAACAACAACAAGAGAGACTAGAGTGTAAGGGTGAGAAGGCAAGAAAACTTATAAGTTGATTGAAAGCCCAGTATTTGGAGGGACTGCAGCAGACACTTCATAGGTGTTTCTCACTGAGACAGAGATCACTGTCTCCATTTTATGGAGGAGGATGGGGTTGTCACATAAAGCCTGGGTCTTTATAAAGCACAATAACTCCTCCACACTAGCTTTTCCCAGAGTGTGTTCCCGACACCATTATCCACGGAAGATGGGGAAAAAAGTGTTCTGGGAATTAAATAGTAACTACAAAATCCTGCCTACTGTAGCCCATCCCTAGCATGATTCCAATGCACAGGAGAAGCCCAAGACGAAAAAGTCCCACAATTTAAAAAGCCTAGTCTTGTTTAACTCTGTGTTCCCTACACTTATCTACTAACTACCTTTTCCATATCCTGTAACAGCCTGGGAGTCCCTGAGTGGTAAACTTACCACGCTTGGCTGCTAACCAAAAGGTTGGAGGTTCAAGTTCACCTTGAGGCACCTCAGAAGCCAAGCCTGGGGATCTACTTAAAAAAAAATCAGCCACTGTAAATCCTATGGAGTGCAGTTCCACTCTGATGAGTCAACAGCAACTAGATGCTTGGTTATAGTTTTTTTATTGTGTCTCCTTGCATCAGAAAACATATAACTTGGGAGCAAATGTTTTTCATTTACTCTGTTCACTGCTACGCCCTTGGCACCTCTCATAAGTTCCAGCTCATAGAAAATATTCAACAAATAATTGCTGAATGAATGAATGAATGGATGAATGAAAAGATAAGAGATATCTCTCATACATCTGGGGTATAAGTCTGAGGCATGAAAATCTAAACGCATATTACTAAAAATAAGTCAAACCTTCCATTTAAAATTAGCACTGTTCCCTTGCCTATGCTCATCTTTCATTCATTCACTCAGTAACTACTACCAAAAGTACCAATGCTGGGCCAGGTTATGCTCCTGAGGGACAGGTCAGACACTGTGCTGCTGACATTCCCTGAGGGTGTAACAGCTTCCACTATTTCTTCTACACAGTGGTATAAAGTTCCCGATATAACAATATCACGGAGCTCACCTTCCACATTGAGTGTGATCAGAAAAGGATTTTATGGAGTTCATGATCAAGGGGACCTCAGCTTTGGTGTCGGTTCCATCACAGTGTGTCAAGCAGGTAGCCCCATTACCTGAAGAACAAGGGTGAAATGACTCATGTTATTCCCGATGAGAACCCAGGAAGCAAGCAAAGTCTACTCCTGTCCATTCAGACCGCCTCATCTTTGAACATCCTGTAAGAAAAATGAAAAGTAGAAAAGTTTGTGCTGCCCAGCCAACCCATCTGGCCAAGGCAACAAGGAGACACCAGAAGACTAGAAAAAAGGTAAGTAAGGTCAGGTTTCAAATAGGACACCAGGAAGCTCAAATCAAGAAATTAAATGGTCCCAGTTGTGGGGTCAGTTTAAGTAATGGATTCCTTCATCTCTCTCATCATACCTGTGTGCCTCAGGACCACAATGTGACAAGTGGTGGCATCATCAGAACCCAGAATGGAGATGGACCCTGTTTAAAAAAGAAATAAAATAAAATATCCAATAGCCTTGTGTGATAATGCCCAATGTGCTGCTTCCTAACCTACCATCCTTTGGGGAGGTCACTGCAAGCTCTCTTTGCTGAACATACAGAAGGCCCTGGGGTCCCACTTGTTGAACAGACTGACCTCTGAGAAGTCTGGCTCTTTCCTGTTTAATTAAAAAAAAAAAAAATAGTGATGTAAATTAGTGAGGATTGACTGACTAGAGCAGTGGAGAGAGCCACAGTGTACTGTAAGTGGGAAATACACACTAATCTGGTGGAGGGGTCTGTGTATTATTTGACAAGCTAAAATAAAAGGCAGCAGTAATAATCATCTGGAACAATGTGAAGAAAACAAATTCTGGCTTTTTACCTATAAAATAAGATTTTACTATCTATGGAGTAAGAGCTCAAATTCCTTATCACATTTCTTCACTAAAGAGTGTGGGACTCTCAATAGTTTTACAATTGTAAAGAAAATCGGATCATATGGAATAGTGGCACAGAAGCTACATTCCTTCTTTGTTTTCTTTAAATGAGAAAGAAGGTTAAAACCTTTCCTCTCTGGTGGCATAGTGCCTAAGGCATTTGACTTAACCAGAAGGCTGGCAGTTCAAACCCACCAGCCACTCCTCAGAAGGAAAACTGGGCAATCTACTTCTGTAGTGACACTGCCTTGGAAACCTAAGGAGGGATCACTGGGAGTCGGATCTGACTCCACGGCAGTGAGTTTGGTTTTGGTTTTTTATCCCCTAATCTCTTTGTCAGGAGCTCTGCTAGCATAGTGCCTAAGGCACTTGACTGCTAACCAGAAGGCTGGCGGTTCAAACCCACCAGCTACTCCTCAGAAAAAAGGATGGGCAATCTACTTCCGTAGTGATGTTGTTGTTGTTGTTGTTATGTGCTGTCACGCCAGACCCAACTCATAGCGACCCCCTCCTTGGATTTCCCAGGCAGTATCACTATGGAAGTAGATTGCCCAATCTTCCCTCAGAAACACAAGGAGGGGTCGCTATGAGTTGGGTCCGACTTGACAACACATTAACAACAACAACAGCAATCTCTTTGTCCTAGGACTTCCACTTCTGAAAATCTACACTAAAGAAATCACACAAAATGGCATTCTTTACTATGTTATTTAGAATGAAAAAATGGTGGAAGCGGCAGCAACAGGAAAGGTAAGTATATTTTGCTGACCTAACCCACAGCCACTGACTCCAAAAAATGAAGAATACAGGAAAACAGTTCTGAAATGTTAACTAAAATGCAAGACTGTTGTTGTGGGCCATTGGATCCATTTTTGACTCAGTGACAGAGTAGAACTACCCCCAAAAAACAAGACACTTAGTATAGTTTTATTTCTTTTTAAAAAAAAAAAAGAGCTACAGAGTATTGTTAAAATAATAGTAGCATATTACATATAGGGGGAAAAAATGAAAGGAAATTCACCCATATAACCATGGTTGTGTTACACTAGTACAAACATGAGACTTAACTGGTGTCATAGGCTTTATTCTCTAAATGTTCTGTGATGTAGTTATGCTGTTAGTGAAGTAGGACAACAAAAAGGATCTGTCACAAGCAAATTAAAAGGACAATCTAACATTTGGTGTAAAAAATTTGTGTGAAAGAATATTTGTGTAAATTCTTATGGAACAAATCTGTTTAAAAAAAAAAAACAGGTGGTTAAATTCTTGAATGAAAATACAACAGCATTTTTTTCTAAAATGTCAAACTGATATGACAATGAAATGTATCATACTTTCCTTCTGACTTGTAACAAAGTCCTTAATGAACAAATTCTTACTCAAATGAGTAAATATAGCACGTGTATATATTGCCCAGATGAAGAACATTTTTACAGTCTTACACAACAGGCTTCTTGCCATTTCTCATGCCTGCTGCTATTTTAAGTTAGTGCTTAGTTAATAAAGTACAAGATGATATAATAAACATAAGGATCAGCTTAGTTAGTTATACAGTGTTGTCCTCTTTTATTAAACTTCCATTATTTGGAAGCAAGACAGAAATGAAAATGAGACAATAACCTCAATTTAAGAAAAAAACAAAGGGTGAAGTGAACTGCAGTAGAAAATCTTATCAAGGCAACTTGGCTTGGTGTAGAACTCAGTGAGAAAAAGATGTGGTTAACTGTTCTAGAACTTGGAACACCCAGCATCAGTGAACACTCTTCATTTCCAGGCCACTTCTCACCCTATTTTAATTCCAAACAACATAAGGGAGAATTCAGAATCCCACCCCACTCTTTTCTTTTTCATTCCTTTCACACTTACCTATTGCTTTGTTCTTTCTGGGAGGTGAGGGAATGGGGGGAGGGGGGGTAAAGGCAAGCTTTTGTCATTCCCACAGTTGGGTCACCACCAAACCCAGAGCTATTTGGAAGAAATGAATGAGCATTTTTCATTCCCAAGAGCAAAAAACATGTTTCCCTTCAACATAGCTCTTAACTATTTCCCAAAGAAATAACAGCAAAAATTATCAGAAGAGCTAATGCCACAAACCTAAAACAGTATGTTGCTTTGGTCTTCCATTTTAAAAACATGGAAAAAGTTTAGTTAAGTTTATACTCTTTGGGAAAAACACAGTCCTACTTCATAAAAACATACTTTTGAAATAAAACCAGCCTCACTTTGCTTAATTTCTAATATTCTCTGGATACTGATATTCACCAAAACCATCTTTTCCTTCATTCCTTCTGTTCTGGTTACCTTGTGCTGCACCGACAAGAATATACCACAAATGGGATGGCTTGAACAAACAAGAGTTTATTCCTACAATTTGGAGCCTTTAAGTCCGAGTTCAAAGTGCCAGGCTCCAGGGGCTGGGTGAAAGCCAGCCTTGGGCTTCAGCTCTGCCTCTTGCTCCCGACCCACTGGAGCTAGAGGCGTTTCTTCACTCAGACAGCTGCTGGCTGCTAAGCTCAAGGTTGAGAAATAAAATGGCACAGTACCGATGTCATCAAACTACATGGCAGGCCATTAAGTTAAGTCCACTGAAAGTCCCAAGGTCGGCAGAGCATGGCAGACTGCTGAACAACGATACGGCTATATGAAGGGTTCAAGTGTGCCACCAGCTAGAGACCACTCCCCAAGGGTTCTCTTTACATATAGGAAGTAAACCACATCCCTAAGGCAGCTACTTAGCTGCTCACAGTAGATTCCACCATGGAGTTGATAACTAGTCTCATCATGGGGAATACTACATCCAGCTGCCCAGCTACTCAACCAGGCCCAGCCAAGTTGACAGACTGACTTAACCACCACCCTCCTAATTTCCTAATTCCTATTCAAATGGCCCTATCTCTTAACCCTACCCACTGTGCTCAAGTCCAAGTCCTACTGAACCTACAGGACAGAGAACTGCCCCACTGGCTTTCCAAGCCTGTAAATCTTTATGGAAGCAGACTGTCTCATCTTTCTCACATGTGGAACAGCTGGCTGGTGGGTCTGAACTTCTGGTTAGCAGGCAGGTGCTTAACCACTGGGCCACCAGGGCTCCTTTCTATTAACCCAAAAATCAAACTCACTGCCATCGAGTCAATTCTGGCTCATAGCAACCCCACTGGGTTTCTGAGGCTGTGAATCTTTAAAGTAGATCGCCCCATCTTCCTTCCTCAGAGCAGCTGGTGGGTTTGAACCACTGACCCCTTGCCATGTCCATGTTAGCAGCCATGTGCCTTATCCACTACGCCACCACAGCTCCTTTCTCTTAACCCAGGGACCAGCAAACTTTTTCTTAAAAGGACTAGATATGTTAGGCTTTGCAGGCCATACAGTCTCTGGCTGGGAACTACTCAACCCTGCTGTTGTAACACAAACGCAGCCATAGACAATATGTAAGTGAACAGACATAGTTGTGTTCCAATACAACCCTAGTCGTGGACAGCAAAATATGAATTTCATATAATTTCACCAAGTATTATTTTTTCCAACCATTAAAAATCGTGAAAAACATTCTCAGCTGATAGGCTGTGTATAAAAACAAGATTTGGCCAATGGGCTGTGGTTTGCTGATCTCAGTCTTAGCCAATCCCTTAGCAGTAATCTCGAGGATCATATGTCCCTTACCCCTATTGTCATATTCTGTCCATTCTCCCTTTGTAAACTGGAAGGCAAGTATGAAAGTGCTTCGTGAACTGTAAAAGGTAGGTAAGAAATTATCAGTGTGTGTAGCTCTCAAAACCGAGCCTTCTTGCCCACTCCCACTTGTGCTGCCTTAGTTCAGCCCTTTAATATCTTCCGTCTAAATTACTGCAATATAACTATGAGCACAAGATTTCGTGCAAGACACGCCTGGGTTTGGAACCTTGCCCTGCCATTCACCAAACGGCCTTGGGAATGCTGCTGAACATCTCTTCTGGGAAATGGGAAGAAGGTCTGCCACCCTGAGAGGTCCGTGACGTGCATGCATGCCACTGTGGCTCCTACGCCTCCCTGATGAGTGGATACCACTATTCTCCATCTGTTTCCCTAACGCGTCTCTTGCCAAAGTCATTCTACCCACCCCGATGGCTGTCAGAGTCTTTGCTTCAAAACACTGATTTTGTGACATTGCTTTTCTGCTCAAAAACCTTTCTAAGCCCTGCGATTTCACTTGTAGGAATATATACATTCTTAAGGACACAAATATGCAAATGTATAAAGATTTAGCTCTGAGAATGTTCTTAATGGTGAAACATTATAAATATCTTGCATGCTTAAAATGCAGAAACTAAATTACAGTGCATTCACATTGTGGCATTCTAGGGAATCATTAGACAAGATGTTGCAGGAGTGCTCACTGAGCACGCAGTGTCCCGTGAGGGGCGAAGGCTCTAGACAGCACTGCCCAAGGGAACTCTGCAATGAGGGAAATGGTCCACATCTGTGCTGTCATCTACAGTAGCCACAAGTCATGTGCATCTGTTAAGCACTTGAAATGTAGCCAGTGTGACTTAGGAACTGAAGTTTTAATTTAAAGTTAACTTTAATGAATTTTGCCACATGTTGTCATGGCTACCATATTGGGTAGCACAGATCTGGAGTCAAGGGGCAGCCTATGAGCAGAACAGTACCACCACAGAGGTATGTAGTCCTTAGAACAATCAACCTTAAGAGATCAAAAGGGCAGCAACTGCCCAGGGATAAAGCTCAGAAGGCAGCAAGGGACAGGAAAGAAAAGCACATGGGAAGGGTAAACACAGGGATGAAGTGGGAAGAGTGCTGTCACACTGTGGGATTATGATCAACATCACAAAACAAAATGTGTATGAACTGGTGACTAGAAAACAAATTTGCTTTGTAAATTTTCACCCAAATCACAATAAAAAGT